AGTTTCCATGTTCAGTGGGAAGACTATATGACTAATATGATTTGATTGACTAAAAACTCTCTTAGAAAGTGTGCACAGGTCAATACAACAAAATGAAGGATCAGAGACCTAATTTACTTATCATTTATGGTCTTTTCAGTAATTTTACTTCAACAGTTTCTTCCTTTAGCTATGGCGCACTTCAACAACTTGTAAGTCTATAGGCTACTACAAACCATCAACATTGCAATGATATCTTGACCAAGTCTACATAAAAATCTGACGCTTATAAAAGGAGGAGACCCATCCAGGATAAGATAACACAAGACAACAAACTTCACATGACGCTAACTGTTTTCTTAGTGATATATTTCATCTATTTGTAAATGTCGTGCTAAATCCCCTTGTAAAAAATCACATTACCTTGTTCGCGAAATTTGCGCGAGCAGTTCGCGAATCGCGAACGTGTTTTGTTCTCACTTTGATCGCGAACTGTTCTCACCTCGTTCGCGAACTGTTCTCACCTCGTTCGTGAACTGTTTGCAATCGCCAAAACAGTYGTTTATTGAGTCCTTTATTGGATATATSAAGATATACAGATTGTAAACATGTGAAATATTTCTATTTGGCCGGCTAGATCGAKACAGCGTGCAATTACAATTAGTACGCCAACCCGAAAGCGACAGTGCTACAGTTAGTACGTCGCTAGTGCCGCGTGGAGCACTCTAAAGCGTTTCATTTCTCGTAMTTTTGGTCGTTTTGAAATATTGCCAAATGATATATGTTTAGTAGAACGGCAATTTATTTAATTGATTTAAACATAAATAAGTATGAGAATAACCACGACTTTGATGTACTTGGTGTCTTCGAAAGACATGTTTGTATGCCGTTGCCATGTGACAACACAACTTAGACATTCCAACAAGTYTCGAGATTGAGTGCTAAAAAATACACTCTTTAGCTTATGGACAATAACTTAAGACTAAAAATAAACTAATGGACATTAGAGTCTAACTTTGATTTATATTCTGTCTCTGAAAAGACGGTCTAGGTCYTGTATTGCTTCAAAGCAATCAAAGATTGCGTTCGCAGATTGCTCAACACTACAAAATTTGCATATTGGTCTTGATAAAGTGTTTAAACTTCGTGTTTAAGTGAACTTTGCACATTATGAATGCTGTAATAAACAACATATACATTTTTTTAGATAGATTTTAAATAATGACTGAAATATTTCAGTTTAACGTGGAAGAATATAACGAAAAATCTTCGTAAAATTTACGGTGATAAATACCCAAAATCCACAAAACCGGGCACATGTCTTCTTTCCTAATTGTACAGACTACATGCAGCCAACTCAACTTCGACTAATTCTCAAGTGATAATAAAAACGACAGTTTGATTTTCCAAAACTTTTTTAGATAAAGTATACTAGTTTACATCATCATCTCAACTTCGACTAATTCTCAAGTGATAATAAAAACGACAGTTTGATTTTCCAAAACTTTTTTAGATAAAGTATACTAGTTTACATCATGTATTGAAATCGAACATGGCGTATAACATTTATATAATATTTATAATATTGGCTTGAAGAAACCAAATGTTTAAATAAACGTTTAAATGTTTTTTTTTTTCTGACTGCAAAATGATTCTAATGAACTAAAAAACTAATTAAGTCGATTCAGCCAATTTTTTAACATACGCAAGGGACGGCAATGTGCCACGGTAGATTACGCTAGCAACCGAATTTCAGAAATTGTATTTCGAATTTAAATTATCAATTCTTAACTGTGTTTAATGTGTAACTTATTCACTTAAAGCGTTTTCATTCTTTTGAATCATCAGAAATTATTTTCAATACATACCAAGYACGAAGAATGTTCACATGAATCCGAATCTGTTTGGCGATTCCAATGTATACTACAGGAATTTYCTTTGAACAGTTTCACGAGAGGTTTATCCACATTCCRASACWWRAGCAAYAGRTMTAAACAGTGCTGGTAGTRTTTCTGGCCTCGATCTTTTTTCCATTTGCTCAGTGTTGTTTTAGGGTCTTAAAGGTAATCATTACGAGCCAATTATTTMAAAATCTTTGCAAAACTGAATGGGACRAGCTTTTGCTATGAAGACAACATATAGCCTTATCAGGGTAGGGTAATCACTGGTTTCTACTAGTTTCCGAGTAGTTCCTGGTTATCTCCTACCCCTCCCTCGTACAAACCAAAGCTAGATTCTGATTGGCTGAAAACAACATTCAGGTTTCCTGTGTGAACATCTTTGATCGCGGAAACTAGCTGGGATTCCTTTGAGATCCACTTCCTATGTCATTTTGCACCAGTTCACCGCTCACACAATAGTCTGCTGTCAGAGCACCAGACAGACTCTGGGCTCAAGGTTGCAAAAGTTTCGATGGGTCCCCTCSCACAAGGCAAAAGTCGTTCATATTACAGATTCAATGTGGGCTTCCTGTGGCAAACTTTTCAAAATGGCGGCCAAGGCGATCGTAAATGTCAGCTACACGGTAAAATACTCTCTAATTCTTTCAACTTTCTTTCAAGCCAACTCTCACTCATCTCACTATACTAGCTGTTTTTTGACTTTAAAGTTATACGTTGCTATCATTAGATAAATATGTGGTCTCCCTGTGGAGAGACTGGGATTAGCCCGGTCAAAGCCCCATATGTAGTTGAATGTAGTTGTTTGTAGTCGTCTATCATTCTGCTTGTTATACTGAAATAAACCGTCTTTAACAAAGAAATGAATGGACTCCTATCTATGATAGACGGCTACCATCTCTAACACTGCGAGGGAAACGTTC